TTGTGTTTCAGGTGAATACATGTTTGTTTTCAGATGAACGCACGTGTGTGTGTGTGTTCCGGGTGCGCATATATATGTGTGTGTGTTCACGTGTACACATATGTGTGTTCACGTGTACACACGTCTGTGTTCCAATTAGACACACGGTTGTGTTCCAGGAGAACACGTGTTTGTTATCAGATGAACACTCGTGTGTGTCTGTGTTTTCCGCGCGCGCATAAATGTGTGTGTTCACATGTGCAGTACACATGTGTGTGTTCCACGTGTGCTGTGTTCACGTGTACACATATGTGTGTTCACGTGTACACACGTCTGTGTTCCAATTAGACACACGGTTGTGTTCCAGGAGAACACGTGTTTGTTATCAGATGAACACTCGTGTGTGTCTGTGTTTTCCGCGCGCGCATAAATGTGTGTGTTCACATGTGCAGTACACATGTGTGTGTTGCACGTGTGCACATGTGTGTGTTCACGTGTGCGCATTTGCGTCTCCCACGTGTACACATATGTGTGTTCACGTGTACACACATGTGTGTTCCAATGGACACGTGTTTGTGTTCCAGGTGAACACATGTTTGTTTTCAGATGAACACTCGTGTGTGTGTGTGTTCCGGGTGCGCGTATATATGTGTGTGTTCACGTGTACACATATGTGTGTTCACGTGTACACACGTCTGTGTTCCAATTAGACACACGGTTGTGTTCCAGGAGAACACATGTTTGTTATCAGATGAACACGTGCGTGTGTGTCTGCTCCGCGTGCACTTTTTTGTATGTGTGTTCACGGCACACATTGTGTGTTCGCGCGTGCACACATGTGCGTTCCAACTGGACACGTGTTTGTGTTCCAGGAGCACACATGATTGTTATCAGATGAACGCGTGTGTGTGTGTGTGTCTGCTCCGCGTGCGCATGTATGTGTGTTCATTTGCACACATATGTGTGTTCCACATGTACACATTTGTGAGTTCATGTGTCCACACATGTTTGTTCCAATTGGACACGTGTTTGTGTTTCAGGTGAATACATGTTTGTTTTCAGATGAACGCACGTGTGTGTGTGTGTTCCGGGTGCGCATATATATATATATATATAAATATGTGTGTGTTCACGTGTACACATATGTGTGTTCACGTGTACACACGGTTGTGTTCCAATTAGACACACGGTTGTGTTCCAGGAGACCACGTGTTTGTTATCAGATGAACACTCGTGTGTGTCTGTGTTTTCCGCGCGCGCATAAATGTGTGTGTTCACATGTGCAGTACACATGTGTGTGTTCCACGTGTGCACATGTGTGTGTGTGTTCACGTGTGCGCATTTGCGTCTCCCACGTGTACACATATGTGTGTTCACGTGTACACACATGCGTGTTCCAATTGGACACGTGTTTGTGTTCCAGGAGAACACATGGTTGTTATCAGATGAGCACACGGGTGTGTGTTCCGGGTGCACATATATGTGAGTGTTCACGTGTGCACATATGCGTGTTCACGTGTGCACATATGTGTGTTCCACGTGTACGCACATGTGTGTTCCAATTGGACACGTGTTTGTGTTCCAGGTGAACAGATGTGTGTTTCACGTGAACACATTAGTATGTGCTAGATGAACTTTTTTTGGCATCTGACGACATATTTGCTCTCCAGGTGTGCACATGTATGCGCTCCAGAAAACGCATGATTGTTTTCGAGGTGCACGCATGTGTGTGCGATTTAGGTGAGCATTTGTGTTTGCTCACGTGTGCGCATATGTGTGTTCCACATGTACACACATGTGTGCTTTAATCGCACACGCGGTGTTCCAGGTGGACACATGTTTGTGTTCCAGTGGTATACATATGTGTGTCCCACGCGTACACACATGTGTGCTTTAATTGCGCGTCTTTGTGTTCCAGGTGAACGCATGTGTGTTCCACGTGTACACACATGTGTGTCTGAATTGGACACGCGTTTCATTGTGTTCCAAGTGAACACACATGTGTGTTCCACGTGAACGCATTAGCGTGTCGTAAGTGAACACATATGTGCGTTCCACGTTTGCACATGTGTGTGTGTGCTTTCCAAGAAGCACATGTTTGTTTTCCAGCTCAACACATTTATGCGTGTGCCGCAGGTGAATGTATACTGTTTCAGTCGTATACGTATGTGTGTTCCACGTGTACACACATGTGTGTCTGAATTGGACATGTGTGTTTGAACTGCCCATGTGACTGCGTGCTTGCGCGGCCACACTTGCGTTCACGCGCGCGCGCTCGCCCGCCATCGCGCGCGCTTGCCCAACCTCAGTTCTGGCGCGGTGCTGAAGCGCGAAGCATGCCAGCAACACACGTGCAGCAACGCAACGCGCGCCAGGTTCACGACTGCATCATTTTGATTCATCCGTGTTGAAGCGCAGAAAGCCACAAGCTGTTGGCATGTTTGTGCTCGCCCGTCAGCCCTCAACTGTTTGGGGTCTCTGCTGGTGTAATCTTCATGTTTTATGCAGCAGAAATAGGTTGATGAGTTTTGCAGATTTGTGTTTCCCTTGAAACAGCAAGAAAAGGTTGACCTCTTTTTTTCAGATTGACCCAAATTCGGGGTGCCCAGTGGTTTGGACGCTGGGGGAAGTACCGAGGCCCAAAGGAGCTAGGGTTCAAATCACCATCACCAAGGTGGATCCTGATTTCGGGAATGCGGAACTATGGGATGGCTCTCCAGGCATCCTTTTGCGGTTGGTCCAAAGGGAGACCAGCCATTTTGAGGGGTTTTACTATGAACGAAGGTCTTCGGCACGACACGAACAGGACAGCCACCACAGAAGTTGGCCATAGTATCGGGTTCTATTCCTTTGCGGTAAGGCCTCACGGACCTTCTGTGACCATATAGGTAAAACATTGTGTTTCTGGTCTTATATTCAGCAGATTGGCAGGTGTCAATTCAAGGTCAGAATTCGTTGGTGGTAAGACATTGAATACTCATGGTGTACTTGCAAAAGCAGCCGCACACAATCAGAACTCCCTGGCAAGTTTCAGCGATTCGCCGGGCCCTGAGAGAAAATCAAATCCATGTAAGGAAATAACTGGATTTTTTTTTGAGGGTGCCTTTTGCGGTTTTAAAGGGAACTCAAAAGGAACACCCCCCTATTGAGTGGGTCCGCGAAAAAAGACCCCCCCACCAGTTTCTGACGGGGACTGTCCCTTGCTCAGCTTCATCTACCCGGGGCTTGATTGTGGCATGTGGGTGTTTCCAATCATAGATGACGGGCTGCAGTACTCCCATGTATATATATATATATATAGAGGCATACATACATTGCATGCATGCATGCATGCATACAGACAGAGACAGACAGACAGACAGACAGACAGACAGACAGACAGACAGACAGACAGACAGACAGACAGACACAGACAGACAGACAGACAGACAGACAGACAGAGACAGACAGACAGACAGACAGACAGAGACAGACAGAGACAGACAGAGACAGACAGAGACAGACAGAGACAGACAGAGACAGACAGAGACAGACAGAGACAGACAGAGACAGACAGAGACAGACAGAGACAGACAGAGACAGACAGAGACAGACAGAGACAGACAGAGACAGACAGAGACAGACAGAGACAGACAGACAGACAGACAGAGACAGACAGACAGACAGACAGACAGACAGACAGACAGACAGACAGACAGACAGACAGACAGACAGACAGACAGACAGACAGACAGACAGACAGACAGACAGACAGACAGACAGACACACACAGACACACACAGACAGACACACACAGACACACAGACACACACAGACACACACAGACACACACAGACACACACAGACACACACAGACACACACAGACACACACAGACACAGACACAGACACAGACACAGACACAGACACAGACACAGACACAGACACAGACACAGACACAGACACAGACACAGACACAGACACAGACACAGACACAGACACAGACACAGACACACACAGACACAGACACAGACACAGACACAGACACAGACACAGACACAGACACAGACACACACACACACACACACACACACACACACACAGACACAGACACACACACACACACACACACACACACACACACACACACACACACACACACACACACACACACACACACACACACACACACACACACACACACACACACACACACATCCATGCATACATACATACATGCATGCATGCATGCATGCATGCATGCATGCATGCATGCATGCATGCATGCCGACACACACACACAGACGCACGTATATAAATACGTACGCACATACATACATACAGGCACGCACGCACGTACCTACCTACCTACATGTATACATACATACATACATACATGGATGCATACCTGCCCGTGCTTGGAATTTGATGGCTGTCATCAGGATGTACGTGTATGCATGGATGTATATACATAGATATGCACGTATTATTTGCATACGCATGTGCTTACATATGTTGTAGCAGAATTGCTCCTATTTGTCTGTTGCCATGAGCTGCATTAGCATATTACTTCCGCTTCATATGCAAGCCCTTTGCTGCGGAATCAGAGAATTGGTTCTCGTCCCAACGCCCGATTCATGCAGTTGGAGTGCACCCATGCCGAAGGCTGAAAGGGGTTGTACCTGTACGGGTGTGTATTTATATATATATATATATACAATCGTATGTGTATGTATACATGATTTTGTACATATTTACACTGCACATATATATATATATATATATACACGGGACATGTACATATATAAAGGGTATTTCTTGGTATGTGAGGTTAACCGATAGCAAGCCAACCAATTTAGGTGTCCCTAAACATGCTGGACACTGTGTTTTTCAAGAGGACTGTCATCTTCCAAATCCCTTTTTCAGTTCCAGTGTTGGAAAGAGGCTGAATTATTGGTCAGCCGACCCTCAGTTGGCTTGGATTCGTTTGGACAAAAACAATTTGTGTAAGGGGCTAGCTGGGAAACCAGCTCGTGATCTCAGGCACGGATGCGGTGTGGGCCACCCGAATCTGCGGTGTCAGTGACTTGGACGATTGCTCGTGTGCCATGGATGGTCATCAACATGTGTTTTTGTTAAGCAAACACAATCACAATAAGATGAATCTCCATGCAAATGATATCCACCAAAGGGTCCTCAAATAAAAAGTGGGTGGGGTGGGGTGGGTGGGTGGGTGGGGTGGGTGGGTGAGTGGGTGGCAGCCCGTCATGAATGGGAGCTGTCGGCAGTCCCCTTCTGAGCTGGTTCCATGTTGTGTTGCTTTAAGTTGCTGGATTGTCACCCAAACGCCGTTCAAAACCATCCACAACCGCCGCCATCTTGGCCACTCTCCTAAATGTGTGTTTCATGTTGGTTTTTTGCACAGTTGGTTCCCAAAAGCTCATCATCAGGATGGGCGTATCACGGCATACCTGAAATGGACCGTTGTAGGAAGTATGTTTGCGATTGTTTGCTGCAGAAACTTGGGCTACCTCGATTGTTGTTTGTTGATGGTACAGCCGCCAGGTTTCGTGCATTTCTCATGTGTTTTGATTTTCTTTGGGTACTTGGAGTCTTTCCACATGAGCCTAAGCTGCACAAGAGATAATACTCGCGCTCACGCATGCATGCTGGCACAAGTGGTAATACACACGCCCACGCACATCCACTGCACCTCAACACATGCTGGCACGATTGATAATAAACACGCCCCCGCGCGTCCACAACCGCTGCAATGCTAGCGTGGTAACACACACACACACACGCACGCATGCTGGCACAATTGATAATAAACACGCCCACGCGCATCCACAACTGCTCTGCGCATGCTGGCAAAAGTTGTAATACACACGCTCACGCGCATCCACAACCGCTGCACACATGCCGGCACAAGTGGAAGTACACACGCTCACGCGCATCCACAACAGCTGCACGCTTGCTGTCCCAATTGATAATGGACACGCCCACGCCCATCCACAACCGCTGCACGCATGCTGGCACCAGTGGCAATACACACGCTCCGCGTCCACATCCGCTGCACAGCATGCTGGCACAAAAGGTAATATACACGCCCACGGGCATCCACAATCGCTGCACGCATGCTGGCACATGGTAGTGCACACGCGCAGCCACAACCGCTGCACGCATGCTGTCACAAGTGGCAATACACATGCCCACGCACAGTAACTCGCACATCCACAACAGCTGCAGGCAAACACACCCACGCGCATCCACAACCGCTCCACGCATGCTGGCACAAGTGGTAATACACACGCCCACGCGCATGCACAACCGCAGCACGCATGCTTGCGAAAAGTGGTAATAGACACGCTCACGCGCATCCACAACAGCTGCACACATGTGGCTCCATTGATAATATACGCGCCCACGCGCAATTGATAATACATCCGCCCACGCGCATCCACATCCGCTGCACGTATGCTGGCACAATTGATACTAAACACGCCCACGCTCATCACCCACACTTGAAACTGAACAGCATGTTGTCACAACCCGCACTTGAACCTTGACTGATTGATGTTTGTGTTTGCTTCCGCGACGCAAACTTATCCAATATGAAGCAGACCTGTTTGTTTGTGTGGTTCTTTTTTGGTTGTGTTTCCTTGCGTTCTTGTTTGCTTGATTGCTTGCGTGCTTGTACTGTTCTTGTGAATTTGGCTATGGGTCGAAGTTAAACCACCGAGGACCGCAGGTCCAAGTCCATGTTTCCACTTACTAGGGTTCCATTGTGGTACCTATTTTTGACCCACAGCCATTTGGTTTTTGGACGGCCCAGGATCATCCTGCAATACATGACGGAGGAGGAGAACCCGACCCTGCGGGACGGCACAAACCAGGACTCGGCCGGCGGTGATGGCGAAGACCCCACGGAGGAGGAGCCGCGTATCCTCAGCGGAAGCATTGGAAGCCCTGTATTTGCCGTCTGCAACTCTTTCAGCTTGTTAAGTGGCGACAAAAACCCGCATAAGGGTTGAACTGCTCGAATCTGGGTTTTGAACCAGGATGTGGTGGGCAAGAACAATGCGTGTGGTTTATGGCCTGCCCTCCAATGATAAACATGCTTTGGCACACAGACTCCTACAACAAGCCTACTCTGTTTTTGGCAAACAGATCACGTTAGCATGTCTATGTATTTGTGGTAACCCCGCAAATAGTGGCCAATCTTCCACACACCAATGACCAAACAGGCAAACTGCAACTTTCAACACCCAGAACATCCACTTCTCGTGCGAGCTGATGTGCCCAACCTGGATCTGTATGGAAGGCAGCGCTACCATAGAATCAGCTTCATGTGGTGGACGTTTTATTTTTGTCCTTTTGGTGAATTTACGTAGATCTGAGCCATTCTTCGTTGCTCCTGTCACGACCTTTAGTTTGTTATTTTCACTTGTCGCACTAGTGAGTCCGTCAATGCCCCTCCCAATCTGACCATAGTCTATGTACTGGATATTCCCCTTTGCTGTTGTGGCCAGTATCGTCGACAGAGGAGCTTGTACAAGCTATGCTCGGTGGAATTGCGCAACGGACAACTGAACGGTTGGATATTGACTGCGATTCAATGCTTTGCAAGCCGTCATACCTTGTTGTCATGGAATGACGTATGAGCCGGAGCTGCGCCATATAACTGATGGGTTACTTCAAGGGAAGCCGGTTCATTCCCAAAACCCTGTGTGATTCCCGTCTGAGAACCAGCAAGATACCTGAGCTTCATGTCGGTGCGCCTTGTTCGTGGGTACCTTTTTGGGGTGGTTTAAAAGGAAACCACAAAAGAAAGCCACATATTTGGGTTCCCCGTAAAGCAAGACCCATGGAACTAAAGGAATCTGATGATTTCTTATCAGAAGGCAGCTCAATACCTCACACTTGCTCCCAGGAGAGCGCAGAGGTGTCGCGGGGGTATCACGAGCCCATGGACTACTGGCAGGCGAGATGGTCCGTTTGGTCGGTTTGGTTGCCACGGTTTCTACGGTTTCGGTACCCTCCCACCGACGAACATGGAAGTGCACTTCCTCTTGGAAAGGGGCTTTGTGCAGTTCCATGTTAATTGGTGCGAGGGTATGATTATTTTAGGCCTGTTTCTGGGTATCAAAGTCAGACACTGGTTGAAGTTGTTTCCCTTACTACTTGAAGTTGACTTTTGATCATGGTGAAATAAGGAGGGCACTGTTGGTGATGCTTGAATTCCATTCAGGGGACCATGCGGGGCCAGTCAGCGTATCCCATTTTGGTATGACAGAAGGGCGATTCTGTACGACTCGGCGCACTGACTCTACCCTCCAAGTAGTGAACCGGAAGGCGAGAGTCCTGTGCGCTTTGCTGTTTGCTTGGAGGTTGTGGCCCTTTGAGTCCATGACCAAGAGCGAAAGCGGAAGCAACTGGCAGCCCACGGTTCGTTCCAGGGTCCTTCTGCCCCGTTTTGTGGGGCAAGTCTCGCAAACCTCCAAGAGTAACCTCCTAGCCCTTTCGGGGCCATACATTGTTCGAGAAGTAGCCTACACTGCACACCCAACGTTTCCTATATATGGGTTTCCTACGCGAACCTTTGAACATTTATAGTGTGTCCTTTTCCTTTTGCCTTTCTTACACACCGTCCAAAATGGAGTGCTCGGGTTTTGGACAACAGCATTGGTGTCTTGCGTATCTTGGCAGATGAGTTCTGTGCACACGGTAATGTGGGACACGACCTTTTGATTGCTGATGGTTCGCGTGTCAGGGGAAAGATGGCTTGTTAGAGCGGTGTTTGTGTTACAAGTCAGAACATCCTGCGGTTTTCCCGCGAATTCCAGAGGTCGGACACGAGAAACTCCCGGCGACGTGAGACATTGCAAACTCGATACCGCCAGAACTGGACACTTGTCGTTGGCTCGCGGGTCCAGGGGACCCCGTGCTCTCCGTTTGGACGCCCATCGATTTGCTGTTTTGCACGCAGAAACTTGAGGACTGCATCGCGCGAGAGCGGAACAAGGGCCTCTACACCGCTGACCAGCAGATGGACAACAATGGCCTGGAGCCCAGGGCACGGGTTTGCCGCAAAGGACCGGGACACATGTTCTTTCGATCCCCCAAAAGGTCGACATCAATCAAAACCATCAAGACAACAGGAACCGGAAAGGTCTGAGATTCGGTCCTTCGGTGTGCTTTTGGCACCGGAGTATAAGGCCTGCATTTAGTGCCTTATGGTCGGGCGGCTCACTCCCTGAGTTCCTGGACTTTATATTCTTTTTGTTGGAAGCTCATTTGGCCATGGGCCAGTGAACATCCCAATCCCCACTAAAATAGACTAAAATGGGTACACCTACCCCAAAATAGTACCATTGGTGTTCACCCACACCCTTTTTTCTGGCAAACAAAAAGCTTGGACTCTTTTTGGCCAATCCACTCGATGGGAAGTGAGATGGTCATCTCACCAACTCAGTAGTGATGTGAGACCAACGTTGCAATGGTGTTGAATGCAACCATGCTCTGTGCTTTTTTGGGAGTTCCGCGCATGGCGCAAATAGCCAGGATCGGACCAGTTGAAGGGCGGTTTCGCTATGATTTTAGGTTGGTGAAACACTGTAAGTCGCTCAATTCTGTTGATGTGAACTACTTCAACGGAGGATGCCGCCGAGTTTCAGCGTTGATTGGCAAAACATGAGCACGGGGGCAATTGTATGTGATTGGTTTTGCTTAGGGTATGGCCCTGCACAAGGCAGTTGGACGCTCGAGAAGCGCCAGTGCGTAGCCTAGCCACTCCTTTGCAAATTGTCATGGAACTCCGGATTGCGCATGCTCTAGACTCATTAGACTCTGAGTCGGAGTTCAAGACAATAGGCTCCAGGGAATCATTTAGGGCCGACATTCTTGTTGGGCAGAGGTCTCCAATTCCACATTCAGGTGGTGCGACCGCCACCCGGCAGAACCCCAACGGCAACGGCCGGCGGAGAGGCAATCAACGCCATGGCCTGGAGTGCCCAGAGGAGAAGAGTCTCACATTGGACTGCAACCTCAAAAGCCAAATTGGTTTGTGACTTGGGGCTCTCTGAAGGATCCTTGCTTGAGGGTCCCTTATTTCAGGGGGGTTTGTGTACAAAAAAAGGGCGCAAATCAACCAGCAAACACGCAAGTGGATCAAATGGCATGCTGGAATCTGCTGGAACAGGAAAGGGTTCTTATTCCAGGCATAGACTTGATTGTAGCTCCTATCGAACAAGTTGCCCTGCGCACTTCCGTCTTTGTTTGCCTCGAAGGTCCTCCCATGGGCACTTGTCTTCGCATGTTTTGTCCAGATACTACTAGAACGTGGGTACCCAATGGTACGTAACATTTGCTTTATAATTAGTAATGTTCATGGCAAAGGGTAAATTAGTGGATCTTTGAGCTTTGCCATGCTAAATACGAACCGGGCGAAACTCATTGCACCCTTTGAGGGAGGCTGTGAACTAGCAATGTTTGCCTTGTCAGCATGCGTTCTATACTGGAGCTCAAATGCACAAACTCACACAACCCAAGTATGAGTGTCCCAGGTTGAGGAGGTACTGTGCCCGATTGGTGAGCCACAGACCATTTTCACTCTCCTATCTCAGTGTTTGTCTCGAGCCCTCCTTCAGATGCAGGAGCGGGACTACTACCCGTACTGGCATCCCTCCCCATGGCACGACATCGCCATTCTCACGGATGAGCCGCAGGAGCGATGCCACCTGGCAAGATGCCTGGGTCCACAAAAATTTCTGTTTTTGAGAGGATCAAGGATGGAGTCTTCTTGGCGATAAGGATTTCCCAGTTTTTCTGAACCTACCTTCTGGCCCTTGGAGACCAGCGGGAACCCTTTCTTTTGGAAGAACCTTTGCCCAGATCAATCTTTCAGATGAACTGGATACCGACAAGTACAAAACGCAGATCAGTCCAATCCTTCCCGGCAGCGTGTACCTTCTTTGGACTCCGAGAGGTGGATGTAGGGACGAGACGCAGAAACGAGGAACCCTCTCACCGAAAATGGAACTGCCTCCAGTGGGTGTTCACGCTCAAAAACACGGAAGTTGATAGTCGGAACCCTTTCCAAGAGGATGGTTGGTGTCCCCTTTCGGGGTTTGGCTACTTCCGCTCCGTTCCTTGGTGCGGTGGTGTTTGCGAAATGAAACCTTCCCTTCCGCTCCGAAATGCTCGACAGGGCGCATTTGAATTTGGACCGAGGTGCCTACTACCAGACCGAGTCTCAGAATGTGAAAGCGAAAGGCTACTGCTCTCAGGCACAGTACAACAGCCCAGACGCGTGCCAAGGCAACGGCGGGGACACTTGGCCAGCAAGACGGGTTTGGCTCGCAATCAACTCCTTTTGTTTGACGTCCAGAAGGTGCAGTTCCAAAAGAACCCACTCATAAATTGCAATTGGCACGACGCGGGAACTCTGTTGTACAGTTGTGAATTTACCGGTTTCATGTGCAGGTGTCCAACTGCAGGATAGCTTGTCCTCAGTTTTCCTGCACAGCCATTGAGAAGGGGTTGCCAACTTGTAAGACAGCCAGCGACCGTCCTTGTTTTTGATGACAAACCAACAACATCCACCAGGTAGGGAGCGGCCATACGCGGGCGATGGGTCCTTGATTGATATTCCTTGCCTTCAATATGGGTGTCCTGCTCCGATTTCTTTGTGCAAGGGCTATGTTCTTAATATCGAAGCGCCACGCTGTATGGACACGGCAACATGGCGTTGGTTGTCCTTTTGGGTTTCCCTTTAATCCTACCCAAAAGGGTACCCATGGTATCCGCACAAAAAAACAAAACACACACCCAAATGTTGGGCGGGGGGGTGGGGGGTGTGGGGGATGCGATCCGCGTGAGGAGTGGAAAGAGCAGGCGCCCTTCGAAGAGCCTCCGCCAGACTGCACGGGAGGCTGGAAGGGGCTCCCACCGATTCCTAGCTGTGGATGGACGAAATCCAGAAATTGCACCACTGTTCAGAAACCCTGTACATGTAATGATTCCCCTGTAAATACCAGGAAATGGTTTCAACCATGGTATCCACAGTATTGTAGGTTCGACCTTCCACCTGGTTGCATGGCTAAGGCCCATCAGAACCTTTAGCGCGATAGCAATGATGTTTTGGTCGCTGCTCAACTGCTTGAGATGATGCGAGTGTGACTAAGAGGGAACACTACGTTCAGGCTTTACCTTGCAAAAGCCTCAGACAAGGAAGGCGCCCCCGAATATGCAAACGTTGGGTGATTTGAGACTGATCGACGATGCTGTCGATTTGATCGCACAGCACATGCTAGCATATCAGAACTTGTCAGAATCTGTTTGACGACTGTGGGCGACTGATATTTGGCTCAGGTGTTGGATGTTGTCAACGAGAAATCGACAGGACACCAACCACTTGAGTTTACCATTTTTTATGATTATTATTAGAAGTATTATGCCCATTGTGCTTTGTTATTCTTGGCGAAAGTGGCTCTTGGTTTGCCTGCACTGGCTGTGGGAAGGCAGCAGCTATAATATGTATGTTTTGGTAAGTGGTTGCTATCTATGCATTAGTCTACGTACAGGTCTTTGGTAAGTGATTGCTTCCAGACTTCCAACGAGGCGCACATTGGCAACGGGTGTCCCCAGTTCGGTGCGAACTCGGCAAGGATTGATTGAAATAGGTCCCTGAAAAGAACGGGGAGCCTTCAACTTGAAAGCTCCATTTGAGTGTGTCTGTTTTTGAGGGTGTCATTTTTGTTGGCTTGTTTAGAAGGAAGCCAAAAGGAGCCATTTTGCAGGGTACCCTAGAAAGCAACACACCCATTTGATTGGAATTTGGGAAGGTTAAAGAAAAGCATCACCCGGTTCAACATCCAGAGGCCCAGCGGAGTCTGGGGCCAGCCCGTGGTCGGTTCGATTATTCGCCCAGAGGCACTTGACATTGGACCGATCGTGATCAGGCATCGCCAGCCGCGACAATCACAACGGCAACGTGCGGAACGGCCAGCCACAGTACTATGCCACTAGGCTGCAAGCTGATTGGGTGGATTTGGGCCCCTTGCATCTAGAATTTCATGGATTTTCCAAGAAAACTGGCAAGAGCATCCCTGTTCGCTTGTCACCAGGAGGGCGGGCCAAGGACAGCGGCTTCGCGTATTGAACCTGCAACTGGTCAGATGTTTTGGTTAAGGCGTCAGCGAACACCTTGTGAGCCAGTGGAACTGCGCTTCGACGTCAAGTCTGGAATCGATAGCTTTGGGCAAATTGGCTCGCGAGCTCAAGACGGGGTTTGGTTTGTGGCCTCTCCATGGGATGGTGAAT